TTTATTTTTTCAACATTTATGAGGTCATAACAACAATGGGTTTTTGGACATATTTTAAATGAATCGCTAACGCGATTCATTCAATATGTCCATAAACCCATTGTTGTTATGACCTCATAAATGTTGAAAAAATAAAAATCATTCCTTAACTAACATGTAGTGTGTTTCTGTTTGTGTGTGACGTTATACACATATCTAACATGTAGTGTGTTTGTGTTTGTGTGTGACGTTATACACATATCTAAAGTGTTGTGTGTGACGTTATACACAGATCTAACGTGTCGTGTGTTTGTTATTTGACGTTATATGCATATCTAACGTGTCGTGTGTTTGTGTGTGACGTTATACACAGATCTAACCTGTCGTGTGTTTGTGTGACGTTATACACATATCTAACGTGTCGTGTGTTTGTGTGTGACGCTATACACAGATCTAACGTGTCGTGTGTTTGTGTGACGTTATACACATATCTAACGTGCCGTGTGTTTGTGTGTGACGTTATATTAATTGCTTGTGAGGAACTAGATACAAAATTGAACTGACGTTGTGTATAGATTTAACGTGTAGTATGTTTGTGCCTCGACACAAAGTTATACTGACGTTATGCATAGATTTAACGTGTCGTATGATTGAGACTTGACACACAGACATAATGACGTTATGTATAGTTTTCACATTGTCGTATGTTTTTGACTCGTCACAAATCTGCCGTAACCCCGTCACGGCGTTAACTTACGGTGTTGTGAAACACAAGGACAAACGGGATCGATACTTACAACAACTATCAACACAGTTACACTGTCACTAATTGCTTTCCCCAATATATCCTGATGTGGGTTTCCACTTGACATTTCACTTTCCACTGGTGAACGGCAAAGTCACATTTTCCAACACTCCATGGCGCACCGTATATAATGTCAAGCTGACATTATTTGTTTTTTGTTTGTTTTGTTTACAGCATCACTCCCTTACATAGCTCAATGGTCGATTAATCACAGCAAAGCTCAACGTTACATGTCCTGTATCGGCACCTGTGGCTGCTCCATATCTGACAACTGTATCACTCACACTCTACTAGAGAAAACATGGTTAATTATAAAATACGAGTACAACATATTCAAAATAGCTGGCAGAGTATGCGATCTCTGTTCCCTGTAAACTGAGCATGATAAGCCGTAAGGTTCAAAGTAATACAAAATTGAATCGAATGGTAAGACTTTACACGAAAACCGTTGTCGTCACGTGAAGGATAATACATACACACGTATGGTAACACACACTCGCACGTAGAAACACACGTAAAACACACACACTTGCACGTAAAAACACACACTCACACACACGAATGAACAATAGAAAATGTAAACATAAATATGTACTCACGAATAAGCAAGTGTGGATATATGCACACGGACATGTTTTAAATGAATTCTATTTTAAAGTAAATACTTGCGTTATCATATAGTCTAACAATGTGTAACAATCACTTGTTAACATCAGCTAACAAGTGTAAAACGAGTGAACATACAAACACCTGTTGATATTGAAACACTTGTAAATATACAAACACGTGAAAACAAACAAATACATGAAAAAAAACGCACTTTAAAAAGAACACGTGTAAACATACACATAAGTTTAAAAAAAGACGTGTTTAGATACATTGCACGTATACAAATAGAAACACGTATGAATGTGATCTCATAGACAAGATACAAACAGTTGCATGGCACGTAGATACACGTGCGAAGATATCAACTCGTTTTAACATATGGACCATTTGCCAACCTTAAAATCCAAGTGTACATGTAAACATTTGTACAGAAACACATGTAAATAATCATGCAAGCACGCTAAAATAAACACATGTTAACATACAATCACGTGTAAACACAAAAACACGTGTAAACACAAACACACAAACACGTTTAAACAACAAAATACACAAACACATATTTAGGACGAGTTCAGTTTTGGTGGTGGTGGTGGTGGTGGTGGTGGTGGTGGGGGGG